TGATAATCTCATTTAAGATAACATTTTGCATTTATTGATATTCAATCATTTTTTCTTGCTATTTCCGAGCCGTGATCCCCCGAGCCGTGAAAAAGCGAACCGTGATTTTCCCGACGCGATCTTTCTAGATGAGTCCAACTCTCTAGATTGAGAATCCGCGAGCCGCGAATTCCGCGAGCCGTGATTTCCTAGAGCCGTGATATCCCGGAGCCGTGAATCATTGAAATTTTCTTTATGTTTTCCTTTCTTTTCAACTGGGAAACCCCAGGTTTTTTTTTCACGCGCACATACATAACTCAATGACTCTATCGCCACAGCCGGCATTGTACATATGTAAATAAGGTCTCGCAAGTGGAAAATGCACTGTGAACCAAAATTTTTTTTCCCTTTCCAACTGTCACTAGTGGAAAGACCACTGTGATAGCATTTTTTGACTCTCGCAAGTGGAAAACGCACTGCGAGCTCAATTTTCTTCATAACTCTCACTAGCGGAAAGACCACTGTGAGAGTACTTTTGATTTTCATAATTCTCACTAGTGGAAAGACCACTGTGAGAATGCTTTTATTTTTATGACTTCACTAGTGGAAAGACCACTGTGAATGTACTTTTTCCCGCTCACTAGTGGAAAGACCACTGTGAGCCCATTTTTTCCAGTTTCTCACTAGTGGAAAGACCACTGTGTGCCTTACCAAATTCAAAATTAAGTCCCACTAGTAGAAAAAAAAACTACTGTGAGTCCAATTTTGCTTAGGGAGAGTTTCATAATTATTTGTTATGATTGCCTGAGGAAAATCGACGGGCTATCTGATAGCCCGCGGTTACTTCCAAAGGCTACGCTCCCAGTCCCTTATTTTTAATGGCTAATCACTCAAAAACGAGTGACATTTAGCCGCCAGAAGTAGGCACATGCAGCAGCAGTGCCCTTTGAACCTCGTATCCCATCGACGAATGTCTGGACCAGAGGTATGCGGCAATTGTTTGATGCTGATTAGCCACCTATGGACTCTGGCTGGATCAGCGTTCTTATGGAAGCGAGTACGACTGGAAAGAGGTATCCGTAAGGACTCCTCGAAATGATATTCTCTAGGGAAGGACCAACAGAACTCATGGAAAACTTTCCTACACTCTACTCGCACATCCATAAGAGGTATGCTTTTCTAGTCCTTGTCTATGTTTTTCTGATTTACCCTTTCACGCTTATTTGAAAAAAAAAAGTTCAAAAAAAAACCCAACATAGGTCACCCATGTTTGAGTCTTTGAGAAATTGTGGAAGCCAGCCATACCTCATTGACATAGCAGCGACATAAGATTGGGTTTAAAAGGAATCTCATGGATAATTACGATGACTAGCGAAATTCGCTAATTCGTAAATTCGTTTGGTTGTTTGCCAAGAGAATTGAGGCAAACCTACCAAAAATGAGTCTTTTTCCAGAAAAAAAAATGGTATTTTCAGAGAATACCATGCATTTAAATGAGTTCTCGAAATTGAGACTATACGAAACTCTCATTTTGATGTGGTTGATTGATTTGCTCAACCTTCAAAAAACAGGTGTAATATTATCTTCAAAAAAAAATTCAAAAACGATTTCTTGTAAATCACGTATTTGCAGTTGCAAAGTGACATTTGGGAAAGCTGCCACGACTCTCGAAAGCATTTGCTCTCGCATTCTCACCAAGCACTCTTCTCTTTTTTCTTTTAGAAATTGCTTTATTCTCCTAAAAAGGAACGGTCCCCTGCCCTAAATTCGATCATTTCGACCACGTATTTTTGTCTTCTTCCTAAAAAAAAATGAGAAAGACAATCTTACTCAAATCTGCACTTTGTGCAACCTTCACATCATCGTCCTATATCATTTCATCTTTAATTTATTGCAATTCATAAAAAAAAGACTTTGCTAATTTGTATGAATTTGACTACCAATCCTCACTACCGAGGCAGTTGATTTTCCGGAAACGTATAGACCGTGCATACCTTCACGTCTTACTTTTATTAAGATGCCTTTTTCGCTGCTAATCTCTGTTAAGGCTTCCAATAATCCGACTTTTCTAAAATAACAGAGTTTTTCCACCGTAAGAAAAAAAACCTTCCGAAAATCCAGGTTCAATCAAAAAAATTGCAAAGCTTTTTTGGCGTTTCAGCTACAGTGATTTTCAAGTTCAAATTGACAGCAAATGAAATCAACTGATAAAAAGTTCAGACATTCAATGAAGAACAACACTTAGAGCCGAGACCAATCGATTAACGATTTGGCGTATTCGTAGCAAAGAAATACAAAAAAAAGTGCGCACTTAACAGTAGTAAAGTAACGGCGATCTACTATTTGAGATTCGCAAAAGCATATCTCTGTTCACCTACATGGCATGCGCAATATCGATGCACTACAGCATATACTAAGGCCCTTACGTCTAGAATTCAGACTGAAACTAAGATAAGTCATTTCCAACATCAAACAGTTTAGCATCTTTAAAAAAAACTACACATTTCAAACGCTGCCTCTGCAGCTCTCTCCAGCTCTAGTGCTAAACCTTTTACTTCCAGCAAATGCATTATAACCCAATATCGTAAAGCATTCTTCGTAATAGCTACCTCCTTAAGCTTATCAATCACAATTATCGTAGCAATTTTCACTCACATTTTCCTTGTCAAACATCACTTTGATGTGATATAAAACTAACCCACAAAAAAAGTCAAGAAAACCTCAACTTTATTATTTCTTAAAGTCTTCTTGATCACTTTACCATAAGCGGTATGTCTTCATTCTAGTGTATAGCAACGCCTGTCCGAAATTGAGCATTGGGATGACCATGCAAAAGGCACTACAAATTAGTAGCAAAAAAAAACTTTTCTTGCTTTATCATCATGTGAATAGTAACTTCATCCGTTCACATCTGCGAAAACACCTTAGAGGCACCTAAAAACCATGCCTTACTTTTTTCATTGAAAATAAAAAAAAGGCTGTTGATATTGACTTCTCAAAAAAAGCGATTCAGTCTGTATAGGCTTATTCTGATTAAAAACGAGTAGTTTCATACATTCGGTCAGATCCAAGACTATTCTTGCTTTCTAAAAAAAACACCAGAAACGCATTCAACGCAAGTGGATTTCAACCGCTCATCATCTACCATACAAAAAAAAAATTCTAGTCCAACATTAGAAAATTATCTGAATTCAACTGAATTCAGCCGTAGTTCAAAAAAAATTTTTTTCTTAAACTGTCCATTTCAAAAAAAAATGACAGCATAAGCGTCGCTTACACTTTTCTGTTGATCAGCTTCTCACAATGATGACTACTTATCTTTGAGTCAACTTCAGTATTTTTCTGATTGCAAAACGATCGTGCGAGAGCCTTGTACGAGTCTCACCTCGCGCAACTAACGCGCTCGCGACAGTTTCAGATATGCCAAAGCGAGGCTAAGAAAAAAATGCGAGTAAACGAAGGAAAATAGTACAGTGGAAATTGTCCTGATCCCTACTTGGTATTCTCGAATAGCCGTTTCATGAAAATCTTGTTTCCTCTGCATATCGTCATTGTTCCCATGTCAAGTGGTCACCATTGTATTATAACCGATTTTCTGTTCGACTTTTAGTCTACACTCACTTGTTCAGAGCATGTGAGTAAGACAGAAACTATATGCCCCATTATACTGTGTTCACCTTTGTATTGCAATTGTTTTCTGCCATCAGATGTTCAGAGCGTCTGAAAAGACAGGATGTTTTGAGAGCCAGTAGCAAATTTCTCATTAACTTCATTTACGCAGCGGCTACTGGCACAGAGTAAGTTTGCCGCAAGCGTCTGCACTATAACAAGAAAGACTTCTCCGATGGGCGACTCGGAGAAGCCTTTCAGTCATTCAAATCACCCCACGCCCTTGTGGGCAACGTTAGGGAAGTGTTCCCTCATGAGTTGCCCACATGATAGATTCCGAAAATTTCATGTTTTTATTGCCCCTGGTATTTTTTTTCTGAATGCTGTAATGACGAATCTTCAAAACGTCAAAATTTTGAACGTTCTGTCACATTAGCAATTTTTTTGCATTCCAAATGGTTTTCTGTATTTTTTATGTTTATGTATTTTGTTCAATCACAACAACCTCATCGCCACTCATCAAAACCTTCATACATATTCCAATTCGACCTACTAAGCTATGCAGCTTCAACCATATTGTTTCATCGCCATCCCAAGCATAATAATACTCGTTCTCTCAGCTCGGATAGAGCCCAGCCATCCACGAAGTAGTGATATCATCATTATTGCATCCATCCGCCTATCCGAACAATCACGGAAGTCTCACCTGCACATCAGTTTGATAGATAGAATTTCCAAGCTTATTTTGCTCCGCTTAATCTTCAGCTCAAGACGAGCTCTTCTTTCGACAGGGCGTGCGAAAGCCGCTCCCTTTCTATGAGCCTTTTCCCCTTGTCCGCTTATGAAGAGCAATCCAGCAACTAAGCCGCGAAACGATCAGCAACCCAACGCGCCCTCAAGCAAAGCATCAGCAACAGATGGTAAATGGGCAACCTTGGTGACGATGACGATATCAACGCACCTTCCTTCACTCATTCACAGCAGCCACGAGGCAAATGGTATATGGGCAATATTGAAGACGATGATGGCAACCACAGCATACTCTCCTGCCCTCTGCGACGAAGCAAATGGTACATGGGCAGCTTTGATGACGATCTTCCACTCTTTAGCCATGGTCAAAAAATGAAAGCTCGGGACGAGCTTTACTATGGAATGGACATGTCGAGACGCAGACTAATTAGATGGTCCGACAGTCCCCACGCCAACTGGGCGGTGCCCCAGCAACTCCAGATGAGATGTGCCTAACCGGGTGACCGGCGGTTTCCCTTCCCCTCTCATTCTAATTATAAATATATAATAAAGATTCTAGTCATAATGTTATGTTCATATAAAGTATGACAATCAGGGTGAAGGATTCAAGTCAGGAGAGTGCACCTCCTGGACTTGACATGCATGAACATTTGTCTTTCTAGGTAGAAGACACAAGCCTGTGCTTCAATGCACTCGGTGGTTTGCCAGGAGTGTATGTGAAATGGTTTCTGAAGAAATTGGGACCTTCAGGGCTACATCAGATGCTTGGTATAGATTTCATGCAGTTTATCACATCATCTATGTGAAGTTTACATTTGCCTCATTAAGCCGGTTTTGATGATAAATCTGCATATGCACAATGTATCTTTGCATATACTGAAGGAAAGGGACATCCTGTGCATATTTTCAAAGGTAATAATTTTTGATTTTTTTTTTGGTAGTGGTGGGTATTACCCTTCAAAGGTTAATCATATTTTTGTTGATGTATTGTCCTAGGGAAGTGTCCTGGTCATATTGTCCATCCTCGTGGTCCTCCTGATTTTGGATGGGACCCTTGTTTTCAGGTTGCTAAATTGTGTCTGGTTTACATTCTGAACAAACATTTTTCAGCCTGATGGATTCCTCGAAACTTTTGCTGAGATGAAAAAAGAAACGAAGAACACTATAAGTCATCGAGCAAAAGCACTTGAGCTTGTCAGAAAATTTCTTGATGGAAAGAAGTAGCTTGTGTCTAATCATAGGGTCATTTTTTTTTCGATTGTTGAATTTTGCTATGTTCTTGTTCTTCTCGCTTCTTTCATGATTGCAATGAAGCACTACTATCTCTATCACCTAAGTGAGCATGCTTTGCGTGAATTATCGATGGATTTGAATGTCCATATCGTTAAGACTCTGACTTTACAACATTCCGAACTGCGAATCATATACAGAAAATTATCAAAATAATGTACCAAACGTTTAATCTCTGATAACCTATTATATGAGAAGCTTTCGCTTTTCTTTGATCACGATATAGAACTAGCTACATTCATTGTTAGATTTAAGATCGGTCTGAAAGTTCGTGCCGTTTCCTACCAAACCTATCCAGACCTATCCTCAAATCGTTCGGAGTAACGATTTGAACAGTGAATTGATGCAGAAAAATCTTCCTCTTTCGAGCGGTAACGTGTTTTTTGTAGATCCTTTATGACTGCTGGAGTAATTGTGAGAATCTACAACGCATATTTATGTGTTCTTCTAGTTTCAAAATTTCCATCAATACATGTTTTGGCATTTATAACTGGCTCTCCAAAATGTCAATTTATACGTTACAGAACATCAAACGGAAGGCAAGTAGGGTGTCATTTGCAACTTTTTTTTACTTTTTGTGATAGGCTTTTCTCCCAGTTTATGGAGTGCTCGCGTATAAAATCGTTGAAATCTTTGATTGAATATTTGATTATTTGAACTTGCACAGGTTGTATTGGGATAAACTAAAATCAAATGGTTCGGGCGGTAAGCGCTATTTGCTTTGCAAATATAGCATTCAATCGTAACACCGAGTTTTTGAAAATCTCATATTTTGAAGGCTTGTTAGTGTTTGAAGCGTTCGCTTGTTTTACGACTTCGAAAAACGAACAGGAACCTTCTGAAAAGTTTATCTAGCCAGCTCAAGATGCCAAAAAATTTGAACTAGTTGTTGTCAAAGCCTTTCCAAAAAATCTGAAATGAAAAACAGCTGAAATCAGGGCAGGCAATTTCGAAAGTCAGCTATTCGATCGATATTCTTTCATTTTATTTTCGTTCGTTACAACTGCGCAAATAGCTCTGAACTTTATATAATGACCCCTCCTCCTTTTGGCCTCACCCACTAGATGCAAAGACCCTTTTTATGCACAAAAAGCTTGGGAGGGTTGATGATAAACAATTCAAGCATCTTCGACCTACGCCCCCTTTATCATGTAGACTCCGCTCTCTCAGTAGCAAGTTCCCCTATTTTCAGACCTGGTTTAACATCACGGATTCTTGAAGTTCTTACAAATTTTGGCCGAGTGGGCAGAGCTTGCCACGATGCTTGCACACATCATATTTCATGTTTGCATGCATGCATATATTATTTCGTTCCGAAAGTTCTTTCCGTTTTTCAGCCTATCATGGAAACGTTTCAAATACTATCCGACGCAGCTTTTCTTCCTCTTTTTAACTGTCATGCTCATGTGCTGGTCACTCTCATGGTCACTGAGGTAATCGACAAAATTTCGGACCCATGGTTTTTACTATGTGCAAAATTGGCAGTTTATCACATTCCTCTTTTTAGACTTTTGGGAAAATCTTGATAGCAGTCAGATAGAGTAAACAAAGTGCAATGTAGTGCAATTTTTTGGCATCTATAGCTAGTTTTTAGATTTTTTTGAAAATTATTAGTTTTCTGATGCTATCAAATTTCACTTTTGATGATGCCAGGAGCCATACAACATAAAATGGCGCACAACTAAGGGTGTCCGATGCACCTTTTTGTACTCTTTCTGATGACTATTTCATTTCCCAATCTGTGAGGTTCTTGGCGATAAAAATTCCATAATTCTCGATTTTGAACCCGCCTAAGGGTATACACGTGAAATGCGAAATTGGTACTTTCCCGTTATCCGGACCCATCTTTTCAAAAACTCTCATAGTACACTTCTTTAGTCTAAGAATAACTTTTCATGAATTCTACGAGGACTGCCTCCTTGCCATGTGTCACGAAAAATTGACATGTTTTGGTCCGTTTTGACCTGTTTTTTCAAAATCATTTCCGGTGAGATAAAAGAAAATTTGTATCATTTTGAGCTGTTTAGCTGTTTTACATGAGCGTAAAACATTCATTAACTTATTTCAGAGCGTCTTGCTTGCTTTGAGCAGTGCTCCAAAAATGTATTTTTCGAAACCCTTTTCGCCATGCGAATTTAGCCGAAAAGACTATAAACAGGGCCCGGCACAAGGTGGGCAAACGGGGTTTTCCAAAACGAATACCCCTTTGATCCCAGTAAGTTTTACGAATACTCCCTTGAGCCCAAAAATGACGTTTTGTGCTTGTGCGACGAGATTACCGGCCACACTTCGCCTAAAAGCGCTCAAAAGCGCCCAAATTGCTCAAATTCCTCATATTACTCAAATTGATGTACCAAGATAGGAAACAGGAAGAAAAATAAGCAGTAAAAAGGATTAGGGAATGAGAAAATATCAAAGAAACGCAGTCATAGGAATGAGAGACGCCGTTCCCGCGCGTATCGATTGACTGGGGCGCGCTTTATATCTTAGAAAGCTGGGCTGCTGATGCCATTTTGGGCTCCAACAAGGACAAGAGGAGGAGTTTCGGAACCAAAATTTCACCATGTATTAAACTTTAGGTGTACAACAGATTTATGTAAAAATTTTGAGAAAATTATGTGAATTGAGAGTTTTGCCGACCTCAGGTGGGAATTAGGTCGGCAAATGCCGACCTAATTTGGAAATAATTTAAGGAAACTCTTCATTCACATAAGTTTTTCATAATATTTCATACTTTATTACTTAGTCCTATTGCGCATATACACAGCGAAGCCCGCGCGATTTCGTTACCTCTGCGTTGCAAACGAGCCATTTTTCCATTTCTTTGGTAGCGCAAAATTTCCAGAAAAAAGTTTGCCACAACCTTCAGTCACATAATTTCTCAATGAAACTCCTCAGTTAAGTCCTGCAAGCCCGTGTGCATGTACTTACCAAGTTTCATACCATATCGTTCATCTGCGCTTTCCAAACGAGCCGTTTAAATTCACATTTTCATTTACCAGTTTTGCGAAATTCTCGGAAAAAATGCTAATTACTCGTTCCGTTCACATAAGTTTTTCATAATTTTTCATACTATGTTTCCACTAGCCTCTGTCCGTTCGCACACAAAATTTGGTGCCATATCGTTACACACACATCCAGAACTAGTCATGTATGCAGTTACAAATAGCATCGCTTGGGCGACGTCGCGCGTGCGGCACTTAGCGACGGCGCGGTTTGACGCGCGCGAACTCCAGTGTTCGCCTGTTGAGGCACATAACATGTCAAGATAAGTAGCGAGCATGAACTGCCAATTTTTTTCCGGGGCTCTGCCCCGGACCCCGCAAAAACGATTTCCCCTTTGCTTTTTGGCCCCAGAACGATTTCCAGCTTGTCATTTGCCGACCTCGTGCCGGGCCCTGACTATAAATGGTAGCTTGAAGTACCTTGCTGCTGCTTATTTCGCTTCTTAAATGAAGAATCCTAGCGCACTTCTCTATCCCAAGCAAGTCTAATCTGTTTATTAATGACCAGTGCGTCACCTCTGCTTCGCAGAGGCTCGCACTGGCTCTACTATCCATGTGCCTTACTCATTCTCGTAAAATCGTGGCACTGGAACTCACCGCGCCATGCCGACTACCACGAATGAAATGTAAACAACTTCTCATTTAGAAAGCTTTTTCACGTGAGATCGGTGATTTCGTGTGGATGAAACTTTTCGCAGAAAGGCAAACGCAAATTTGAATAGGTTTCTAGATTTGTCATTGCTTGGTAGTTCGCCATAAAGGCAATAGTGACCGTGCATTACATTTCCGTACAAAAACTTTCTCAAATGCTTGAGTAGAACCTTAGCAAACTGACCATTTACGCAGCCAATTCTTTTTGGCGCCGTTTTCGTTATGTAGTGAACTTTTGACCACTTTTCGGGCTAAATTGTATCGCTTGCACATTTGCTCACCAAACGCATCCACCACTTTGCGAAAAGTGATGATACGGACCCAATTTTGCGGGATAGAAGCCAGGTGGATCCGTTTGGCGCGCAATTTTTGAGGGATCCACTCAACGAATCTACTCGTGCTTTTGCATATTGGGCTTCCATGAAGGTAGCATGCGCTATACAAAATTTGAGCTTAGGACGTTGGCTGGAAACTGCTCTACGAATTTCGTAACAGACACACTCACACACACACACACACACACACAAAAACACGTAAACACCCTTAGCCCGTTATTATAAGTTATGATAGTATTTCGTTTTTAATATGACAATGTTTACACTGAAACTGTTTGATTGACTAAAAAACATATTGAACTTATATCGCCTAGATAGGGTAACACAAACTCTTGGTAAAACCTGTTGAACGTATAGATGACATGTCAAAATTTTTTGACACGTAGCAGAAGGTTGACAATTCTTCCCTTGAAGCTGGGACAAAATATGGTACAAGGATGGGAGCAGTACATTTCTTTGAAAAGTGGGCCCGGGTAACGGAAAAGTACCGCGAAATCTTACATTTCGAAGCGGTAAAGGCTCACAAGGGAAGCATAATCGGTCAAAGTGGTCATTTGGAATGAGCTGTATATTAGGCTCCCGCCAGAGTGCCGAAGTTATGCCAGCGCTACGCCAGCATTTCGATCGATACATGTGTATTTCGTTGGGGACATCTACCTGCTGAGCTAGCCCCGCCCCAACGAAATACACGTGTATCGATCGAAATGCTGGCGTAGCGCTGGCATAACTTCGGCACTCTGCCGGGAGCCTTAGGGAAACCGTCCTCCGTGAGGCAAACTCAAAACTACTTTCGCTAGGTGCCGAGCGGTTTTGTGGGGGAGTTACAAGGTCATTTTCCTTCGGCGCAGCTAGAGCACCCAGTGATGAGCGAGGCGCTAGAATAACGCAGAAGTGTGGCAGTGGCGCAGTGGCAACGGAGAGGACTACGAAGCAGATAGTCGAG